ACCCTCCCCCCACCCTCCCCCTACCCTCCATCTGCGATAGTGGGCGTGTCCTAACAATGATGTGTACGCAACTGCGTGTCTGCATATCTGCGCCTAACAAATGTGGTACTACGCACGACTGAAATTTTACGTTTATAATCGTAGCAACAGACCTCAGATGAGCCCAGACGCTCTGCGGCTCTTGTTAGTAAGTTTCATTCACCCCAAAATAATTTCATTTGCCATTGGGTGAACAATTCACCAGATTAAGAAGCACTGGTGTAGCAGACGCTCTATCGCCGTGTCGCAACAAACACTGCTCATCTCAGCTGTGGCTCTCTCTATGTAACGCTGCTGCTGTTGCTGCTGTACTTCAGGGACTGCCAGCTGGGCATGCACAAGGAACACAAGTATCAGTTCATACACGAGGCGTCAAACCAACACAAGCAGTTCCTCGTCACTCTCATCCAGAAGATGCAAGAGAAGAAGTCGTATATCGAGAGCGCCAAGGCACTGATCAACCAGCGCAGCACGGTGAAATGCATATCTCAGTCAATCTTGTGGTGTCTGCCCCTAATCTGTCACTGAGTGTGGGTTATGGATGCATATGTCTGTTTTTAATTTGTCATTGAATGTGGGTCATAGGTGCGTATTTCAGTCAATCTCCTGGTGTCTGTCCCTAATCTATCATTGAATACGGGTCATAGGTGCGTATTTCAGTCAGTCTTGTGGTGCTTGCCCCTAATCTGTCACTGGGTCTGGGTCATGGGTGCGTATTTAAGTGTTCAATGTTTTTAATCGTGTGCGTCTCTACCCTGCTGCAGGAGATCTCAGAGCGTGAGGTGAAAGTTGTCAACGACATCAAGATGTTCGCCGTCAAGTTCATCACAGAGATCAACAAGCGTGGCAAGCAGCTGTTGAACGACCTAAATGCGGTAGGTGACAGTCTAGGTTTTGCTGACCACCGCCACGAAGGCGAGTAGTTACGATGCAACTTACGTTACATGCATGACGGTATCATGTAGGCCAGATTCGGGTCTGATATTCCTACAATGCAAATGGAGATTAAAATGTACAATTTGAAAGCAGATAATTGCCTTATTTTCAGAATACTAGTAGGTGTTCTGCTGCTGCTGCTTACATGTAATGTGAAATGGTCGGCAGTACCACGTCCCAGTGGAACTATAGATAAATAATTTGCTTCCATTGCTCCCATGTCCATCTCACCGGCCCTTCTTGCACTTCTTGGATATCAGCAGTTAATGTAAATCCACCCACGTTTTTCCTCTGGAGTGAGCTTGGGATGAATTTCGAAACCCTGATCTATCTCTAGTTAGATTACTCTGTGCACTCCACTTGTAACCAATTCACGGACACGAAAACTGCCTAATGCCCCACCGCCTAGGCCCCCACTCGAGAATTCATGTTACTATTGTCAAAATTACCTTTGTTAAAATACTTGTACTTACTAATATTGAAAGCGATAAATAAAATCTGTTATATCTTATATCTTATATCTTATATCATCACTTATTCGAGTTTTCCACAAATTCACGTCATCGTTGTCATCGCGTTGTCTCTCGTTTACTACCCGGCAGGTGTGCAACACAAAGAAGGGTCAGCTCGGCATGAAGAACTCGCAGCTGCTGGCGTTGTCGGACCAGCTGGAGCACTGCATGCGCTTCGCCCAGCACGCGCTCGGCAGCGGCAGTGACACTGCGCTGCTCTACAGCAAACACATCATCTCCAACCAACTACGCAACACGCTGCGCATGCGCTGCGAGGTGCCCAACCCACAGCACAAGGTAGGTCAACCACGCTGCGCATGCGCTGCGCATGCGCTGCGAGGTGCCAACCCACAGCACAAGGTAGGTCAACCACGCTGCACATGCGCTGCGAGGTGCCCAACCCACAGCACACGGTAGGTCAACCACGCTGCGCATGCGCTGCGAGGTGCCCAACCTCCAGCACATCCTCCAGCACAAGGTAGGTCAACCACGCTGCGCATGTGCTGTGAGGTGCCCAACCCACAGCACACGGTAGGTCAACCACGCTGCGCATGCGCTGCTAGGTGCCCAACCCACAGCACAAGGTAGGTCAACCACGCTGCGCATGCGCTGCTAGGTGCCCAACCCACAGCACAAGGTAGGTCAACCACACTGCGCATGCGCTGCTAGGTGCCCAACCCCCAGCACAAGGAAGGCAAACACCCCACCCACTCCTCCGCTCCACCTCGCCCGGACGACACCACGACCCTCACGGTGACCCGGCCTCGACGCCACTAACCGGACGATGACATGGCCACGACCCCAACAGTGACCCGGCTTCAGCGCCAGGACCCCGACGATGACCCTGGTGCAAGGCCGCGACCCTGGCCATGATCTTGGCCTCGACGTCGTGATTCTAACTGCGCCCCTGGCCATGACCATGTCCCCCGACACACAATGGGGTTAGCCGCTAGCTTTGTCAGCAGGTGGCACAGCGGGAGCAGATGTTGTACAGCCGATTGCGCATGACCCATGGCAGATGTAAACATACAGCGATCACACATAGCCGATCCTATATTTTGATCAACATATCAGAACAAATCGAACATATTTATACCTAACTTTAAGAGCTCCTGATAGTACTATTCTCCTTTTAACCCAATATATAAGTTTTGCTCTATGTCTGTTGATATAATCGAATAAATAGCCAGATGTCTCTAGGTACTAGAACCGCTAGTCACGTAAGTTTATAACCACCGGCGATCGGTTTGTTGCGACTATTTTTATCAACATATCAGAACAAATTGAACTAGGTACTAGAGCCGCGAGTCACCCAAGTTGGGGCATGTATACATTAGGTGACACAGGCCTTGTTACTTATGTCAGTGATAGCTATGGTGGAGCACGCCGCCAATGCTCAAAGGAAACTTCATGCAGAGACAGTTGTTTGGGATAGACGTATCGAATCTAAGAGGATTTGTGTAGAGGGTCATTGGTCCAAGCAAGACATTTAAAATATTAAAATGAGACCTGCCCCATCAGAAAATTTCTCTCGGTGGAAGAATTGTGAAGGTGTGCTTCATGATTTCTAACTTTAGGCGAGCTATTGTCAGCAGTAATGCCTAGTGTCTGTAGTAAATGGCCGCGTTTTAGAAATAAAGATTTACATAATTTGTATGGCAACTTTGGTCTTTGTAGCTTTTCTCAATCAATATATTACAGAACTCCTGAGCACACTTAAAAGAATAACCACCCACTTCACATATGCAAGACTAATAATACCGTGAATCTCAATAAAAATAACCATTAACAGCATAGGTGTAACTGAGTAACCTAATGTTCAACTTTATTATAAAAAAACACGTGATGGATTAATTGTGAACGTGATTCAAAATACGTGGCCCTGCATAACGACAATCCAGGGACTGCAGTACTTTGTCCAAATGACTAGCCCAATGTGATGTGAGAGCTAACAGGTTTCGCATAGCAGCAATGGTGTCTTCAGGGTTAGTGGTGACAAAGGTGATGTCATTCAAAGATGGCACATGGCTAAGCAACACAAGCAGCTGCTCGTGTTCCCAGTCGATATTCCTTGTGTGTGAAACTCGGTTGTGTAGCCACATGTGTCTGTCCAATGGCTTTGTGAATTTTTAATTTTATTCACAGTATTTACAAAAGGTTTGATTTAAAAATATAAAGAGTACTCGTTTTATGTAGACTTGTCCCGGTGTCAAGTTTGCTCTGTTTGTGCTAGAGAACTGCTTGTGCTGGTACAAACACTGGGGCCGCGAACCAGTCTACGTTTCTTGCAGAACGCTACGATCTGGTCTGTGCTATAGCTAAAGTCACACCAAGCTCCCGGACCGGTCCTGGACGTTCCGTGGCGCGTCCGTGGTAGGTCCGGGACAGTCCGTAGTGGCAC